CTATTATAGTAACGACACACTGAAATTGTGGAGCCGACACTAGTCCAACTTCCAAATGCTTTGGCAAGAAGGTAGCCTTCCGACAGGTTGGACACACATCGAGCTGGTTATGTGAACATAGTAAAACACACACACACACACACACACACACACACACACACACACACACACACACACACACACACACACACACACACTTTCTACATTCCTTACTTCATCGCCTGTACCTGGTGCATCACTACATGTATAACATACCAGACAGTCTGCGTCCAATATGTAACCCGTTCCTTACACCCTGTTCAACTACTTCAAGTATTTAATTAGTATTTACTCAATCTGCGGACAGTATTGCGGACAGTATTTACTAAGTCTTACTATCAATCTTTATAGCATAGCTTCTTACATTGTATTAGTAGTTGGTCAGACACACGGTGTCACCTATTCTCGAATCACTGCACAGCACCGAACCAATGCCCACCATACAACGCTTCCTTGGTCAGGTACGAATGCAACGATGCCATGCTCATAGTACACTTGCCAACCGTCGACGCGTCCCCGGCGATCTGGTCGGGCCCATCTCGATTATTAGAGAGGTTCTGCTACACGGAACTACGTACCAAACTCCGTGTCAACTTTTATTTTTTTTTTTACATGTAATACCAATGATCAAGTCAAAGGAAAAAGAAGTTAAGAGAAGTGCAAAGTAGAGCTGGAGTGCAGCCGCCCGATAGCGGACTGAAAACTACTAGTAGTAGGATGAAAAGAGCACAGACGAAGCAAATACAGACAAAACCAGAGGCAAATGGTATCAAATGCGAATGCCCGCCTCAGCAACCGCCAAGGTGGGAGGTGAGTCCAACTGCACCGGCCGAAGATTCCGGGATCCGCGCAAACACATCACGCTGGACCGGAGTAGGGCAAAACTCAATTTGCATCGAACCCAAGACATAACACAGCTGTATGCTTCTCCAGTCTTCGCGGCTTGAAGAGAAGCTATCCGCTTGTAGAGCGACTCCGCGTGTTTGCCCAAACCACCAGTGGTAGAGAATATGGCCGGAACAAACGACGAATGCTCTATGTCGCGGACACGTTGCTCGTAGCAGCGCCGCTTCTCCTTCTCGTGCTTGGTGTAGCAGGAAGCAATGGAGGTGGCGCGGTTTGAGGTCGCATGAGGATTGAAAACCCTCACATCGATGAAGGTGCGCTCAAACCGGCCACCCCAGATGCCACTTGCCGCAACGTCGAGACGGGCCTGCTCAGTCTGGATAGCGGTGCGATACCGGAACTGCTCCCCAGTGACCGGCTGCAGGTGGGGCTCCACGGAGACATTGTGAGCCACTCGCTTCAGCATATGGGCAGTGAGGTCACGCACCTCATTGTGCCGCACCGACGGAAACCCCCCTGTGGGGCAAGACAAAGCGTGAGCGACTGAAAATGTGGCTCCACAGCTGCAAGATGATGGCAGTCGCTGTGGAAGCCAGCCGTAGCGCAAGTGGATTCCGTCGCGGAACTCACCCTTGGTGAGGGTCAAGCCATGCCGCTTCAATGGTCGACAGGTCAGCCAGGAAGAAGCTCCCTTCTCCGACGCTAGCGCAATGACCCGCTGCAACTCAGTATCCACAGATGAGGAAAGAAGCACAGCATCAGCCCGAACCGAGGCGTCAACTGTGTTCTTCGCTTGCTTCTTGGCAGCGCGTACATCGTCAATGGCGGTGCCTAATTCCATATCTTGGACCAAGATACGGCTTGTCAGGGGCGCGGTGATGTCTCGAGAAGACTGATATTGGGAGGCTCGCGACGATGGGTGGGGCAGCCCGAGACCGCCGAAGCGACACGGAAGAGCAAGGAGGCTGCGCTCCTGGGTATTCACCGGTCGTCCCAGAAGGGCAGGGATCAGCATGTTGGACACAGCATCATCAAGTGGAAGCAGGTACTCATCCATAGCTGGCATGCCTCGGCAGAGAAAGGTCCACTTACTCTGTAGGCCATGGGTGTACGCGGCATACGCAGCTTGAGGCTGAGAGCGGGCATAGTCACTCAGCCGTTGGACCTGTGCGACCCACTCCTCGACCTTCTGCTGCACGTACTGCGTGGCGAACGCGGATGACCCGATGGCTGCACCAAGGTAGCGGCATCCATCTGCCTGGATGGAAACACCAGTACCAGCGAAAATCCGGATGGCCTCGTCGAGGAGTGGGGGCTTGACCACTAGGACAGACTTAGCTGGATTTGGGAAGTAGCCATATTTGGGGCCCTTCTCCGTCAGCTGATCCCACCACACTCGGACGCTCTTCAGCTTGCCACCGGATCCGGCATCATCTGCATACCATGCCTGTACTGCTCCTTCTGTTGCAACAGCTTTCATAAGTGGGATGATGCCAATGGCATACATCGCCATGGCGACGGGGTCGCCCTGTGTGGTACCCTCACATGACAAGATCTTCTCGCCGCCGACGAAGAGGCTAGTGGGCTTTCGGTAGGTGTTGATCACGAGTTTGGCGAGTGATGGGCATAGGTGCTGGATGTTACGGAGGCACACTTCGCGATTTAGGCAGTTAAACGCGTTGGTGGCGTTAGCCAGAAGAATGGCTTCAGTGGAAGGGTCATCAAATACGTCGCACATCGCATGGATTGCCGCCTCTATGCCGCTATCTTGCCCCGCACAAAGCTGGAGACTGCCAGCAGCTTCCATGATTTCGGGGCGGATCACCTCGAGGATGGCCTTCCCCACTATGCGCCGCAAGACTTCCCCGATGCCTATTGGCCTGACTCCAGGGCATTTGTCGAGTGGAATCAGCCTGCATGCAGTGTAGGCATCTAGTGACGCCGGGTCCACGTACGTAGTAGCGAGACGACGAGCACACTTGGCCATAGCGTCACAGAGTTGGTCCGATGTATCGGCAAAGGATGTACACATGTGCCGCCAAGAGGCAGCATCCACCCCGGAGGGACCGGCAGCTCCTTGGGTGTGCAGGGCGGCCTTGCGTAGTGCGTCTCGATCGAGTGACTCAAAGCGTACAGGGTGGGGAGGCACGGGTGCCTGACCCTGAAGCAATGCTTCCGCATGAGGAGGCTGCGCCTCCGGGTGCTTGGCCTTGAGGAGATCCCGAACGGTGCTTCCATTGATGGAGTCATCCAAGTCCAGCACTCCTCCACGACCACCATCTGCCAACATGTGGGTGGCGGACCTCAGTTTCCCATTGGTCACGAGGTTTGCAAAGTCTCTGGCTTCATCGGCCCTGCTTTTCGGGGATGACGCGTGTGCTCGCAGGAGGTGCTGGATAGTGCGGCATTCATAGAGCAGCTCGTCAAGCTCACCACGATTCCAGAGGTCAAGGCGCGCCTGGAGACGCTTAGAGAATGACTGTGACGAGGATGCATGGGGTTGTTGTAGGAGCAGTTGCTGGAATACCAAAGCAATTTTGATTGCCTGACCCTCATATGGACCTGTATCTCCAAAGCATTGCAGATAGCTGCTGAGTGTGGAGATAAAAGCTCTGCCCGTAGTTCCATGAGGAACATCAAAGGTGTTTGGCCTGAAGTGCACTGCTTCCTCGTATGCTGCATGAATGGCAGCTTGTGTGGCTTGACTGTCCATTGTTCCAAGTGTGAACGGTCCTGTTGTTGATTCCACATGTGGAGGAAGTGAAACGTGTGCGTCTGCAGCGATTTGATCCTCACGCTGGCTGGCATCCAATGTGGCGAGCAGCTGGGCTGCTTGACTGTCTGAGGCCACGTCCTCGGGGATGTCAGAGTCATTGGCATTGCTCGCTGTGTCACCTTCCAGCGTGTCCCATGCAAATTGCTGGGAGCTCGATATCGAGACAGGAGTCGTCGACAGCGCCGCGGAGAGCGCAGCTGAGGCAATCTCCTCAGCGGTTGTTGCCTTCCTCGGGGTCTGCAAACCCTGCACTACCGTACTCACAACACTGCCGCTGGCCCGAGGCCCAGCCGCCGTTACCGTATCGCCCGTACCCGTACACTGCGAAGATGGTTGGCTCGCCGCGGGTGGTTGGTTCTTGCACCTTCCATTTTGAGCAGGGCCGCAGTTTTGGCAGTTCCTTCCACTCTTGACACAAGCACAGCCAACACAGGAGCCTTTGCCGTTGCACCGACAACATTGGTGGCCACCCTGCATGGCGCGCTTGGCGATATGACGCGCACCGCACTGAAACCAATCGAAGATCCGCTCAAAAGCCCGGAGCTGCAAAAAACTCAACTCATCTCGAATTGCTATTTCTGGACATTCAACTGGAGTGAAGTTTGACACGGATTTTTCGTACGTTGCGCCGGTTCTGCTGTGCGTATTTGTGAGAATGACGTCCCAATCTCTGTCGCCGATAAAGAGGTGCTACGCGTGCTACCCGCGTGCCCAACGTCCAAAATGTCCTATTTCGTCCTGATGTTGTCCCGCACGACTACCACATGAGCACAATCCAGCATCAAATATCGGAAATGTAAATTGCCGGAAATGAAGCGAGCTACTGCGCCATGCATGCACCCTATCAACGACACAATATTACAGGTTAGACTTTGGAACGATCTTCTCGATGGAATTAATATTTTGACAGCGTCACGGTTACCCTTCTGAGGCTTCTCGTTGTGTCGAAGCTCGCGGTAACTCCGAGACCACAGCCTGTGACAGGTTGGCGTTGTTGGCTTGCCTCACCATCACAGGTTCCTTCTTCAATTCAGTTCTTGGAGCATAATGGCTACTCTTCCCCATGATTGTTGTATCTCCCCTGCATGCATATGCATGATCATGGCCTGGGTCAAGAATAATAGCAAGAGTACAATGACTATGTACCATTGTACTGTAGTAGTGTTGTAGGTCTACTCTTGTACATGAACTCTGTGCCTGTGTCACGTGTGGTTAGCCTATATGTAGCTCAGATCTACGAGCGTCGCTATGGTCACCACATGTACGTCGTATGTTGTACAGTACTCAGCTACCGGGTCCGTACTATAGTACTATTCTTAGTATAACATCTGGACATCTGGATACCAGTTCAGACTTCAGTTTACCAGCAGCAGCATATGAATTTCCGTTGTGAAAGCAAGTGACCAGGTTTGTGGCTGCTGTGTTTGCTTTTCCGCTGGCGAGGCACAGTTTGTCTAGCTGTTCCACTTCGCTCTTATCTGCTCAGTGGGAAAGTCCCAGGCGAGCTCACTGCTCAAGTTCTGTCCCTCTACGAAAACAGGAGAAGGTAAACAGAATAATATTCATCTTGCCACTAGGGACGTTCTGTATTTCGAATTTCCACCGAGAAGTCGAAAATAACTTTACACTCGACTGATTCTTTCCCATTTCCGTTCAAGTTTCCGGAAAATTCGACTCCTCCGCCGACTCTGGAGCACAGTGATCGAGAAAACATTCCGAAATTCGAAATTCAGAACCTCCCAATGTTGGCCTACATTCTTTACCGTATAGGGTCTGGCAGGCTTGCCGAATCGGGGAGCAGAGTACTGGCAAGTCGCACCCCGCCACCCACCCCCGCCGCAAAGATACATGTACATGTATGCACTTGCTTTTGACTTAGTCCATCATATGAGCTACAGTACTCAAGCTCATAGAAACATCTTTGCGCTGCAATACATGTACCAGGTACAAGTACTGTAAGATCCCGCCAGAGCGCCCCTACCTCCGCCACCCTTCGAGTAGGTACAGGTGGGGGAGGGGAGGATGAGCGAGTCCTACTTACCGCATTCAGTACTACATGAGAAAGTACTCACCCTACGAAATCTGTTCGTCCATATCATACACCGACCAAAGGCCAAGAGCCAGGAGTCGTACAGACCCATCAACACTAAGGGTTTGTGCGATCCCTGGTCAAGAGGGTGGGCACTGTTGCGTACATTTCCAACGGGGTCGGGCACGCGTCTGCAGTGCAGCACGGCATCACAGAGTCATACGAGTGTACAGACAATCACTTCCCTGACAAGAAGTCAGGGTGGGGCGCATGGGAGAGACTCTGGCGGGATTTTACCCTACTAGTAAATTAGCATAGAGTCGTTGTCTATGATGTAGGGCGCAAGGATTGTGCTCACGGTTAAATTCCTGGCCAAAAGTTACTGTAAAAGCCATTATTCTAACGAGGCGCATATAAAACGATTTCCTAAAATTGACCATGTACAGCTTACGTGTACCAAAGGTAACAATTCTCACTCGTTCTCAACGCTCAATCGCCACAATATGTATCGATTTCTGTCTAACGTTTTCTATTTTAAAACCACAGATTTCTCGTTAACAGAAATTACTTTTAGTACCTACTTTTAAAGAGAAGAGTGCCCTGCCCTGAGTGTCCTGCCCTGAGTGCCCTGCCCTGAGTGCCCTGGGTGATTGGTGAAACCAGGTTTCAACTGTGTAATCAGTTTTATGTCAATTGTGTGTGTATGTGCGTGCGTGCGTGTATGTGTGTCTGTGTATGTGTATGTGTGTGTGCGTATGCGTGCGAGCATGTGTGTGTGCGTATGTCTGTCTGTCTGTGTGTATGTATTTTACGCTCGCTCTCTCTCTCTCTCTCTCTCTCTCTCTCTCTCTCTCTCTCTCTCTCTCTCTCTCTCTCTCTCTCTCTCTCTCTCTCTCTCTCTCTCTCTCTCTCTCTCTCTCTCTCTCTCTCTCTCGCTCTGCCTCTCTCTCTCAGTAGTAGCATTAGTAACCAGTGCCACACACTATACACTGAGGCACACACCCACTGAGACAAGTCACATCAGCATTACCTTCAGACTTCACCAGCACCACCACCACCAGCGCCACCAGCACCACCACCACCACCAGCGCCACCACCACCACTACCACCACCACCAGCATCAGCAGCAGGCCGCAAGCAAACGCACAATGTCGTTCAGCGTACCCGTGTGTGCACGCCGTCTCTCCTCGCAGCTGAGCCGCTCGACCGCGTTCGTCCGCACCGTGGCAACAACTGCGGTCGTGGCATCATCACCATGCCAACCGCCCGTCCAACCTCCCTCGGCCAATGCCCAATCACCTACGAGCAAGTATGATCTGACAATTCGTAGTGTTTACCCCACCGTCGATATACCTAGTGGAAACATGCCAATCCACAAGTTCATCTTCGACAACCTGACGGACGAGGACGCCAAACGAACAGCCATCGTGGACGCCATAACAGGTCAGACGTTCACGTACGGCCAGCTGTACGAGAGAATCCGCAAGTTTGGCTCGTCGCTAGTCGTGGACGTTGGCTTGCGGAGAAATGACGTCGTCGCCGTGTACATGCCAAACATTCCCGACTACGCCACGGCGTTCCTGGGCGCCATGGCAGCAGGTGGTGTGGTCACGTCCGTAAACTCACTCTACACGCCGCCGGAGATAGCACGTCAGCTGGCAGACGCCAGTGTCAAAGTGTTGGTGACGTGTGCACCGTTCTTGGAGAACGCCACGCAGGCCGCCAAGCAACACGGTCTCCAGTCCGTGATCGCCGTCGGCGTGACAACCGAGCAAGAACTCAACGGCGTTCGCGTCGTTCCCTTCTCGCAGCATCTGGACAACAATGGCAACTCCTTGCCGGACTATACGTACGCAATACAGAAAGATATCGCGGTGTTACCGTATAGCTCCGGGACGACGGGGGTTCCGAAGGGAGTTCAGCTGACTCATCGCAACATCATCTCCAACCTGATGCAGGTGAGTGCGTCGCCGGAGATTCTCTGCTACAGGCGCTGCGAGAACGAATCCATCCTGTGCGTGCTACCGTTCTTCCACATCTACGGAATGGTTGTACTCCTACTGACTGGCCTCTACCAACGTACTCGGCTGGTTACCATGCCGAAATTTGAACCCGAGCGTTACCTAGCAACCATCCAGAAGGAGAAGATCACGCAGTTGTTCGTGGCACCTCCGTTAGCCTTGTTCCTGGCTAAGCATCCGATGGTGTCTGAGTACGACTTGAGTAGTGCATACTCGCTGTTGAGTGGTGCTGCGCCGTTGTCTGCCCAGTTATCGGCGGCTGTTTCCGAGCGGCTGAACGGCTGCCGTGTGTTCCAGGTCAGTGCCATGTCGTGTTAGTACTTGAGGGTGTGTATGTCTGTGCGTGTGTGTGTGTGTCTGTGCGTGTGTGTCTGTGTGTGTGTGTGTCTGTGTCTGTGTGTGTGTCTGTATCCATGCGTGCTTGTGTGTGTGTGTCTGTGTGCATCTGGTTTTGTGGGTAGATGAGGTTCTCTACGCGGTGGCACACGCAGGGAAAATACGTACAGCTCTGATTGGTATCTTTCGAATCGGGCAGAAAACTGCCAAATTTGGAAGGGGAAATTCCCAGCACACATTTCACGTGATTTCTCCACGTGATTGTGTAGCAAAACACTGAAAACCGGTTTCCTTAGTGTTATGGGAACGACAAAAGTGTGACCGGGATTTTCCATACCTTAATCGCACAACACGCAGAGCGGAACTTTCACTACTAGTATCACCAGCAAATCCTATAATTATATTATAGGGTTTGGTTTCCGGCTAAAGGATTTCGCTAAACAACCTATGAAAATTGATGATTAATGGTTTCATGAGGTTTTTGGAACTGTTTTCCATATACGTGATTTGTGACGTCTGTAGGAATAATCCAAACTTCAAGCCAATCGGCCAATTTTCGGGGTGAAGCTTCCACTGTAGTACAGTGAAAAGCACTAGATACATGTATGCCAACCTGTGGCAGTGCTCCTCAATCAATCACAGACATCTATTCATGGTATCTGTGTACTTATTCAGCATACTAAGCATTTTATATCACTTTCCCTGCCAATTCTATCATCATCTGCATCCATTACAATACTCTGGATAATGCACAATACTCAAATCCTATTATAGGATCCGGGGGGAGGTACGTCTTATTAGTGGTCCACTGTATATCAACACCAAACCAGGCTTATGAGTTACGGAGTTATGACTCATGAGACGATAGTACATCTTGAAAATCAGGCTTCTATTCAAAACAAGCTTCTGTATGCGACAGGCGTTTATACAACGCAGTTCTGTATTAGGCTATTAGCAGGCCTACATGTATTTAGGATTGTGAACGTGTGTCCGTGTGCCCGTCCGTGTGTGTGTGTGTATGTGTGTGTTAATGTGTGTGTGTATATGTGTGTGTATGTATGTACGCTCCTCAGGGTTATGGCATGTCTGAGCTCAGCCCAGTCTGTCATGTCACCCCGTACAGCACAGGTCGCCATGGCTCCGCGGGTATCGCTGTACCTAACACCGAGGTTACTATCATCAGCACCAAGGACCCCAACAACACGTACATGCTTGGCAAGGGCGTCAGCGGAGAGATCTGCATTCGTGGACCACAGGTGGGTGATCACGTCATCGGATACACGATCTGAATCTGCACTCATGCTCAGTGAATACGGAGGATTAGCAAGACAAAATTCGCGTTCGCAACTGCGAACATTTTTTGGATCGCGATCTGGATTGCGAACTTTCGCACTTTTCGTTCGGAAAAGTAGTCGAAACACAAATTGCGGATTCGTGTCAGGACAGTCTTAAATTTACTACGCTATACTGTCTGTACACAATGTACGTCGTGTCAACGTCATGCGTGTGCGAATTCTGTTTGCTAATCCTTCTCATAACGCGAATTCTGTCACTGAGTTTGACTTTCCTTGGAGTGCGAACGCGAACTCGAATTTCGTCTTGCTAATCCTCCGTAATGAAATCTGATCGCGTGAGTCAAGTATGCGCCCTGCACCCAGCTCTTGTACCAATGTTTGCAGGTCTAGGACTGCATAGTGCCCTGCACCAGTTCACATTCCAATGTTCACAGGTCTAGGACTGCATAGTGCCCTGCACCAGTTCACATTCCAATGTTCACAGGTCTAGGACTGCATAGTGCCCTGCACCAGTTCACATTCCAATGTTCACAGGTCTAGGACTGCATAGTGCCCTGCACCAGTTCACATTCCAATGTTCATAGGTCTAGGACTGCATAGTGCCCTGCACCAGTTCACATTCCAATGTTCACAGGTCTAGGACTGCATAGTGCCCTGCACCAGTTCACATTCCAATGTTCACAGGTCTAGGACTGCATAGTGCCCTGCACCAGTTCACATTCCAATGTTCACAGGTCTAGGACTGCATAGTGCCCTGCACCAGTTCACATTCCAATGTTCACAGGTCTAGGACTGCATAGTGCCCTGCACCAGTTCACATTCCAATGTTCACAGGTCTAGGACTGCATAGTGCCCTGCACCAGTTCACATTCCAATGTTCACAGGTCTAGGGCTGCATAGTGCCCTGCACCAGTTCACATTCCAATGTTCACAGGTCTAGGACTGCATAGTGCCCTGCACCAGTTCACATTCCAATGTTCACAGGTCTAGGACTGCATAGTGCCCTGCACCAGTTCACATTCCAATGTTCACAGGTCTAGGACTGCATAGTGCCCTGCACCAGTTCACATTCCAATGTTCACAGGTCTAGGGCTGCATAGTGCCCTGCACCAGTTCACATTCCAATGTTCACAGGTCTAGGACTGCATAGTGCCCTGCACCAGTTCACATTCCAGTGTTCACAGGTCTAGGACTGCATAGTGCCCTGCACCAGTTCACATTCCAATGTTCACAGGTCTAGGACTGCATAGTGCCCTGCACCAGTTCACATTCCAATGTTCACAGGTCTAGGACTGCATAGTGCCCTGCACCAGTTCACATTCCAATGTTTACAGGTCTAGGACTGCATAGTGCCCTGCACCAGTTCACATTCCAATGTTCACAGGTCTAGGACTGCATAGTGCCCTGCACCAGTTCACATTCCAATGTTCACAGGTCTATGACTGCATAGTGCCCTGCACCAGTTCACATTCCAATGTTCACAGGTCTAGGACTGCATAGTGCCCTGCACCAGTTCACATTCCAGTGTTCACAGGTCTAGGACTGCATAGTGCCCTGCACCAGTTCACATTCCAATGTTCACAGGTCTAGGACTGCATAGTGCCCTGCACCAGTTCACATTCCAATGTTCACAGGTCTAGGACTGCATAGTGCCCTGCACCAGTTCACATTCCAATGTTCACAGGTCTAGGACTGCATAGTGCCCTGCACCAGTTCACATTCCAATGTTCACAGGTCTAGGACTGCATAGTGCCCTGCACCAGTTCACATTCCAGTGTTCACAGGTCTAGGACTGCATAGTGCCCTGCACCAGTTCACATTCCAATGTTCACAGGTCTAGAGCTGCATAGTGCCCTGCACCAGTTCACATTCCAATGTTCACAGGTCTAGGACTGCATAGTGCCCTGCACCAGTTCACATTCCAATGTTCACAGGTCTAGGACTGCATAGTGCCCTGCACCAGTTCACATTCCAATGTTCACAGGTCTAGGACTGCATAGTGCCCTGCACCAGTTCACATTCCAATGTTCACAGGTCTAGGACTGCATAGTGCCCTGCACCAGTTCACATTCCAATGTTCACAGGTCTAGGACTGCATAGTGCCCTGCACCAGTTCACATTCCAATGTTCACAGGTCTATGACTGCATAGTGCCCTGCACCAGTTCACATTCCAATGTTCACAGGTCTAGGACTGCATAGTGCCCTGCACCAGTTCACATTCCAGTGTTCACAGGTCTAGGACTGCATAGTGCCCTGCACCAGTTCACATTCCAATGTTCACAGGTCTAGGACTGCATAGTGCCCTGCACCAGTTCACATTCCAATGTTCACAGGTCTAGGACTGCATAGTGCCCTGCACCAGTTCACATTCCAATGTTCACAGGTCTAGGACTGCATAGTGCCCTGCACCAGTTCACATTCCAATGTTCACAGGTCTAGGACTGCATAGTGCCCTGCACCAGTTCACATTCCAATGTTCACAGGTCTAGGACTGCATAGTGCCCTGCACCAGTTCACATTCCAATGTTCACAGGTCTATGACTGCATAGTGCCCTGCACCAGTTCACATTCCAATGTTCACAGGTCTAGGACTGCATAGTGCCCTGCACCAGTTCACATTCCAGTGTTCACAGGTCTAGGACTGCATAGTGCCCTGCACCAGTTCACATTCCAATGTTCACAGGTCTAGGACTGCATAGTGCCCTGCACCAGTTCACATTCCAATGTTCACAGGTCTAGGACTGCATAGTGCCCTGCACCAGTTCACATTCCAATGTTCACAGGTCTAGGACTGCATAGTGCCCTGCACCAGTTCACATTCCAATGTTCACAGGTCTAGGACTGCATAGTGCCCTGCACCAGTTCACATTCCAGTGTTCACAGGTCTAGGACTGCATAGTGCCCTGCACCAGTTCACATTCCAATGTTCACAGGTCTAGAGCTGCATAGTGCCCTGCACCAGTTCACATTCCAATGTTCACAGGTCTAGGACTGCATAGTGCCCTGCACCAGTTCACATTCCAATGTTCACAGGTCTAGGACTGCATAGTGCCCTGCACCAGTTCACATTCCAATGTTCACAGGTCTAGGGCCGCACAACACCGAGGGTGGAATTGATTCGCGTGATCCAATTTCACTCATCAGCACCATAGTATACATCTAGTATATATCCAGAGTACTGTAGAACCGGAAAGTCTAATGAGTCGCAAAGTCTAACGTTTTAACGACCAATTATTTTCGTTATTTGAAGAAACGTTATCGCGAGATGTCTGTGTAAAGATTGCGTATGCAGATGGGTGGCCAGGTAGCCATCGTTAAACTTTCTGCACGTAATCATGTCAAAATTACAAAAACGTTAAACTTTTTGGTCGTTAGACTTTCCGGTTTTGCAGTACATAACCGACTCTGGGTAGCCAAAAAGTGTGCAACTCCTATCTTGAGCGTGCGATGGACTCAGCCACAGCAGACTATATTTTACTGCATCACTTCTTACCAGTACCGTAAAGTACCGTTGATCCCCCCCCCCCCCCCCCCCCACGCCATGTCGCTTGCCAGCTGGGTTTTCGGCAGGGGGGGGGGGGGGGGGGAGATCAAGGCTGTCAAGTGCAGTACGATGTACAAAAACGTAGAAGTTCAGACTCGATGTGCTGGATTGTGCATATTTTCATCCTGGATTGGCAAGTATTGTGTACAGCAGTGCATGCGTCGGTTCAACATCGTATTTTCGTTGTTTACGCCGAAGTCGCTTCACAGGTAGAAATCGACAGGGGGCGGATCAACGGTACTTTACGGTATGAGCGAGTGACGTGCACATGCTTGCTTTCATGCACGACTTTCGAATTTTCACCGTAATGCTGCCTTGTTATCTTGGTAACCACCCATGTGCAGGTGATGGCTGGGTATTTGAACCGACCTGAAGCCACCGCGGCCACTATAGACCGGGACGGATGGTTGCACACCGGAGATATTGGTTACCATGACAGCGATGGCTACTTGTTTGTCACCGACCGACTCAAGGAGCTCATCAAGAGAAAAGGTGAGGGCGTGCGGGGGGGGATACGATTTTAATTTGACATAGTAAACGTTTGTAAATTTAACTCGGATACTGATGCTGGAAGGCTGTGGGTTTGCGCACTGGAGGTGTGTGAGAGCTAGGTCTCAGGTCGTTGAATGTCACAGTAACTTGTCAGTTGTGTGCCCTGTTATCGCACTTTCTGACTGCTTATTATCTTGTTACAGTCGTGGATAGTTGCTTCATAACTCGTTTCCATGTGATTTCTTCTATTTTAATTAAACGTTTGTAGTACAGTATCAGTATGATTTTAGTAGGGTTGTGACCCCTGTCTGTGTTTGTCTGTTGGCTGTCTGTGTTTGTCTGTTGGCTGTCTGTGTTTGTCTGTTGGCTGTTTGTGTTTGTCTGTTGGCTGTCTGTGTTTGTCTGTTGGCTGTCTGTGTTTGGCTGTTGGCTGTCTGTGTTTGGCTGTTGGCTGTCTGTGTTTGGCTGTTGGCTGTTTGTGCTTGGCTGTGTTCGCTGTCTGTTGGATGTTTATGTTTGTCTGTGTTTGCTGCTGAAAAATGCCTGAGCCATATTAAGTTGGCCGCTCGGTTTTATTTACCTGTCTAGAGTTTTTTTGTGGAAGTAGTTCTCCGCTGAATGTGTGATAGGATTTACCTTGAGGCGGTCTGTGTTGAGCCTACCAGTGCTGTGGGTGGCATTTGATCACAGCGACAGGTTTGGGTGAGTTGATTGCGGTGAAGTGTTGCGGTATATTTGTACTATGGTTACAATGTGTGGGTGTGTGCGTGGGTGTGCATATGGGTGTGCATATGGGTGTGTGTGCGTGGGTGTGCATGTGTGTGTGCATATGGGTGTGCATATGGGTGTGCATGTGGGTGTGTACGGTATGTATGTGTACTCTGTAACGGCCCTGCTGCTATGCTACAGGTTATCAAGTGGCACCGGCAGAGTTGGAGCGCGAGTTGCTGAGTCATCCGCTCATCGATGACGCAGCTGTCATCGGTGTTCCAGACGACCGAGAGGGAGAGTTGCCGCGTGCGTTCATTGTCAGAAAGTCCGGCACCGAAATGAGCGAGAAAGATGTCATGTCCTTCATGGAAAAACAGGTACGGTTGCTGAATGGAGAGCAACTCTCTTTTGTGCTCAAGACTCTCTCTCTCTCTCTCACTCTCTCTCTCTCTCTCACTCTCTTCTCTCTATCTCTATCTCTCTCTCTCGCACTCATTCTCACTCTCTCTCTCTCACTCACTCTCACTCTCTCTCTCTCTCTCTCTCTCTCTCTCTCTCTCTCTCTCTCTCTCTCTTCCCTGTCAATGGACTTATGATTGTTTAAAGTTTGAAACTAAGCTGAAACTCTTTTTTCCACAGTGTCACTACAGCTACAGCAGCCACTCTGTGTACTGTAGCCGCCTAACGCTTTGTTGTCCCAGGCTACACTATTCTGACTTGCTGCTGCTGCTGCCTCTGCTGCTGCTGCTGCTGCTGCCTCTGCTGCAGTTGCTGCTGTTGATACTTGCTTGTTTGTCGTTGCTGCAGTTGCTGTCGTTGTTGATGGTGATAGGGATAGTGATGCTGCTCTTGTTGAAGTGTTGTTCCCATTGCTCTTGTAATCGTTGTTCTTTTATGATATCATCCAATGTTGCTGCTGCTGCTGCTGCTGTTTCAAATCTTTATTCTCACGATAGCCAGTGGCCAATAAGAGATATGTTGTTGTTGCTGTTGTTGCTGTTGTCGTCATCGTCGTTGTTGTTATGCCCAGGTTGCGCCGTTCAAGCAATTAGACGGTGGAATTGTATTCATGGACGTTATCCCCAAGTCGGCGGCGGGCAAGATCCTCCGCCGAGAGTTGCGCGACAAGTAGGCCAGGGCGGTTGCCATGGTGATCAGAACTTGATCTTTACCCTATCTATGGCGTCGCCACATGCAGGTGCAGCGTCGCTGTTTCCAGAATTTCCCCGCGTCATTGTCTTACGATGTCGTATTAGCTGGGGGAGAGAGAGAGAGTGTGTGTGTGTGTGTGTGTGTGTGCGCGCGCGCGCGCGCGTGTGCGTGTGATTCTAACATGACGGCGTACGAGTGTGTACGGTCGCATTACCTTCGCCCACCCTTCCTTGTCAGCCCTTTGCTAGCTGCTAACACTTGTTGTATCGTTAGCTGTAGTCCTCGTACTGAAGTGGACACTCATACCTACATATCTGTTCTGTTCCGTCTTGACCCTGTAGACATGCACTGTAGACATGCACTGTAGACCTGCACTGTAGGTGTCTGCACTGTAGGTGTCTGCACTGTAGGTGTCTGCACTGTAGACATGTCTACAGTGCAGACACCTACAGTGCAGACACCTACAGTGCAGACACCTACAGTGCAGACACCTACATGTGGGTGCCACGTTGTTGACTAGCAAATCCTTCTGAACTATCCTATAATCTATTTCTATACACTATACAGCACACGTTGACAGATCTCTTTTCTTTATCGTTCAAACCTCCTTTTTCAGCCCTCTCCGCAGCCGGACGCCCTGTGCATCCAGAGGTAGGCTCTCTCCCAGGTTTCCCTAGTACCTGTACGCGTATACTCGTGTAAGCTACCCAAGCGACAGCTCAAGCCCCGATTGCTCCCAATACAAGCCATTCACCAGTACTGCCCAGTCCTAAGCACTGCTAGCAATCTGTGCCATGCCCTGACCTAGTACCTACTGAACTTACCCACTTCACAGAATCATTTATAATTTATTTTTCTAAGAATACGACTTGACGTGTGCTTGGTTGCCATGCTGGGCTAGACCAGTTTCTTCGCATGCATGTCTCGGTATCGTGGCAACAAGATCTACTTGAGCAGGTCACCTGAGTGTGTGGGTCTGTCTATGTACATGTCTGTGTGCATATTGTCGGGTTGAGCGCAGAAGCCAGCTGGGTTTAAACATGTTTTTGACTTCGACAGCATGCTACAAGGCGAGAACGTACAGTGATCCTGACTACGACCATAACCCGGTTGGTAGAGTTCCGGCCTTGCGATCATTTGAACCTTACGAGGGGAAACCCGGTTCAGACCCTCTGACGCTGTATTCTAGGGGGCGGTGGTCGACCTTGGAAATTTTTAATATCGGTATACAGTCAACTTCGCTTATAACGACACTCGGCGGGGCATCAGAAAAGTGTCCTTATTTGCGAAGTGTCGTTATACCCGAAGTCTCATTATGTGTCACAGTTGGATGGGACTTTGCTCTGGGCATGAAAGTTATGTCGTTATTCACGAATTGTCGTTATACCCGCAGTCGTTATTAGCGAAGTTGACTATCTCTATATACAGCTAGGCACGTAACGCAAGCAAGTTGGTTAGGTAACGAAGGCATGCAGCAAGAGTGCACCAGACACCAACCCATGGTCAGCCCAGTGAACAGGTATAATAAGTACTCTTGCCTCTTGGTCGTGGACTATTGCTGCCACCAAGAGTACATAACCCCCCAGAGTGTGCAACACCCACATACCCTGCTGTCCCGTCAGAATTTCAAGTTGACGTCATTATTTATGACGCAATGCTCCTTGCCCCAGTGATTTACAACATGTGAACGGGTGTCAACGCATCACACGTTTTTCTTTCCAATAATAATTTGTACAGGATCGATCGGCTTCGGTCAACCACAGGTTCCGGATTCGTCTGATAATCCGTGTACTGTGCGCATTGCATCATCAAAATGACGTCAACTTGAAATTCTGTCGGGACAGCACCCATAGTGGAGTTGCACACTCTGGGGGGGGGGGGGGGGTATGTACTCTTGCTGCCACCCAGAACATGCTACCTGCTAATGTACTCTTCAACAGATAAAAATAATTATTATTATGCTGAGAGTTATCTACTAGGCTGTAAAAATAATAAAAGCGCTATGCTGCATAACGTACAATGTACAATTCAACGCAGCGCGAAGCAAAACCCGGGTCATTGGGCACAGCAGAGCACAGCATTATGAACACCGACCGTGCACAATGCTAAGGGAGAGTGTTGCCAATGGAAAACATCAGACGGACAGACAGCGAGACAGACAGACCGACAGGGAGACAGACAGATTGCAGTATAGATCTCAGTCCCAGCTGCAAAAGAAAGAAGAAAAAAGATAGAGAGCAGGAGACGAGAACACATGCACACCGTAACACGGGCATGCTTGTGTCGGGACCAGGGTCGTAAATTACCGGTATTTTACGACTCCCTGGTCGCAACTGACCAACATGGTACATTTGGATTGGTTTGAGTAAAGATGGCACGTTTTCATAGAATTTGGCACAATTCCATAGAATCTGCCAGGTTTTAGAAAAATCGGCAAAACCTGAAGTGTTTTCAGCAAAACTACATGCATACAAATTGCTGTGCTATAATAGCACATGATCTCAACTGTAAAGTCATAACGCCTGATGCAATAAAATCACTGTATGTATGCAGTGCGTACATAACTCAGTTGTATGCAGCGACCGTGGGGTGTGAGCTGACGGAGCGACGGCAGCGGAATGGCTGGTACAGGGTACGTATGGTCTTGTGTGTGAAACACCTCACACCAGCCACTGGGAGCTGGTGCACTGGCAATGGTTGCGTGTGTTGTGCAAGCTGGTGTTGCTGGTGACTCGGTGTGCTGGATGTGTTACAAGTGACTGACTGGCGAGGGCAACGGTGCCAGAAACAAACTGCCGTGCAACAACCTGTGACATTTACAATGGCTAAAGCTGTCGTGAAGAGACGGAGGGAGGGAGAGAGAGAGAGAGAGAGAGAGAAATAGGAGGAGAGACGCGCATGCAGACAAGGCCAGGCAGCTTGCTACCAGCACCAGCACCGTGCCACCCCGATTCCAACCTTTGCCACACACACACACACGGCCACACACCGTCCCCCAAGATACAGTTTTGCCTATGGTTCATTGCATGCAATCATCTTGCATCCGCCTGCGCGTCATCGTCATCCTCTGTGCCCTCTTGTGCTGCTGCTGCTGTCACTGTGGATGAACGATGATGTCGCACTCGTTGCCGAAGACTACTGGCCGTGCCACTGTTACTGGAGTCGTGACGACCGGAAGAATCTGCGCCTTCATTCCCAGCAGCAGCAGCAACACCAGCGCCAGCACTATCAGCAGCAGCACCCGCAGCGGCAGCAGCTGCTGCGGGCAGTCGCTGTACTTGCTCCTGTATGGCTGCTCCCCAATCGTAACCGCCGGGTTGGTCCTCTGCCGGCGGTCGGTAGGCATTGGCATCGTCCACGTGACTGTCCTTGTCAAACAGAACTTTCCTGAGAGAGAGAGAGAGAGAGAGAGAGAGAGAGAGAGAGAGAGAGAGGGAAAGAGAGAGAGAGAGAGCGAGTAAGTTACATTATATAAAGACAGGTAAGTCTAACAAATGAGGACTGAGACCTCTACAACAGGGTTTTTACGCCTGAAAGCAGGCGCATGATTTAACAAGCAGGTTGTCAGTCTAGGTAAGTTTTATGTGCAGATGGAGGAGGAGAGAGAGAGGGAGAGAGATAGATAGATAGATAGATAGATAGAGAGAGAGAGAGAGACACGCACACACTGAGACACTTACAATATCCTTGGAGCAGACACGACATCGCAGCCTCCCTCCATGCGTGGGAAAACGTCTGCCAAGAAGTAGTAGACATGACCAACTGCAATGCCTGTAAGCGAGCAAGAGAAGAAGATGGAGTTGAAAATACACCTCAGACCTCAGACATGCCCATCGCAGAAGCGATGATAGCGAACAGCTATGTTAGACATAGCAACTTGAAAATACACACACACACACACACACACACACAGACCCACACACACACACACACACACACACACACACATCCCCCCAGACAAACACACACACACCGTCACTTTCAGCAGAAGAGTTCTTGTAAATCAACTGATACTGGCAAACGCAGCAAAACAATTCCCTCGCCAAACTGCAATCCGTGCACAGCTTAACCTCTCAATGTTCCCGTACCTAGCACGTCGACCCAGAAGACAGAGCCAAGCACGAAGGAGAAACCGAGAAGCACCCAGGGAAGCTGCGGCGCTCGGAACGTGATGAAGAGGAAGTTCATGCGCACAAAACGATTCCGCTGGCCCCAGATGTAGACGAGCATGATAGTGAACGCCTGACCCAGGAACAGCAACGAGAACCAGTATCCACAGAACTGCACACACATTGCCATGAACAGCATGATGACGATGACATCATGATGACATCACGGTCAAGGATTATGACATCACAATAAAGGAGCATGACAACGCAATAAAGGAGCGTGACAAGTAATACTTGTAATTAGTTGACAACACAAGAAGATGGCCATGACGTCACAGCAAAAGGGCAGCCAGCCAGGCTGAGCCAGCCACTCGCACACAAGGCGTGTGTGTCGCACACATACACGCCTGTGCACACATTGGCAGACACATAATACACGGGATGCAGGTGGGTCACCCCAATGAATGAATGAATGAACAGTCACTGTCCATTAACACGGTGAAATAAGTCACTCAACGATCGCTCAGACTGTCCACCTCTGCTGCAACTAAGTAACTCAACGATCGCTCAGACTGTCCACCTCTGCTTCAACTAAGTAACTCAACGATCGCTCAGACTGTCAACCTCTGCTTCAACTAAGTAACTCAACGATCGCTCAGCCTGTCCACCTCTGCAAAGTAGCACATTTTCTTCTCTCCCTATCGTATGTACCGTAAAGTACCGTTGATCCTCCCCCCACGCCATGTCGCTTCCCAGCTGGATTTTCGGCAGGGGGCGGGAATTTGATCAAGGCTGTCAAGTGCAGTACGATGTACAACACCGTAGAAGTTCAGACTCGGTGTGCTGGATTGTGCACATTTTCATCCTGGATTGGCAAATTTTGTGTACAGCAGTGCATGCGTCGGTTCAACATCGTATTTTCGTTGTATACGCCGAAGTCGCTTCACTGGTAGAAAATCGACAGGGGGCGGGAATTAGAGAGGGGGCGGATCAACGGTACTTTACGGTAATACTTTACGGTAACATGATATAAACAAACAAACACATACACCCCCCCCCCCCACCACCACAAACACACACACACACCACACGCATACGCGCACGCACGCGGACACTGCAATCATGAGGATACCAGCATGCCCACACCGCCCAGGGCGAACATGTAGACAAAATCAGCGGTGCGCCCACGGAACGATCCCTCTTCCAGCATTCGACTGTAACGGTATCTGCAAAGACAGCATGTCTTGGGTCAAGGCAACAACAACATCAACAACATCAACAACAGCAACAGGAGTGTATAGCAGAGGAAGTGAGCATACCGGAATGTGGCGTATAAAAGCAGGTGCTTACGGCCGTATAAGCCGGGGTTCAAACCATGCTTCTATTCGAGTTATGCTTCTATTCAAAACATGCTTCTATGTCAACATCATCAGTCTACACTGTGCAGTGCATACTGCCATGCATGTACTTCCACATGTACTTTGCAGGGAGCGGCTTCTATTCAAACCATGCTTCTTCGTCACGGCGCGCTTCGAAAAATCGGCTTCTATTCGAGTCATGCTTCTATACAGGTCATGCTTTTCTCCGCGACACTACAGTATTCAAAGGTGGTAAATCAAATCATATGTCGGGAAATCTGGCTGGATTTTCAAATTAGGACAGGTATACACCATGGCAAAGTATACAGGGAAGCAGATCCCAAATCCAAAAATTTCAAAATTTCATGCAGGTTTACTGGTAGCCTAGCTTTGGCCACAACTGGGCTTTCCAAGCCAGCGGAACTACTATATCCGAAAAGATTGTAGAACTAATGCTGCCACCGCGTACTAGCTGCAGCAGTAGCAGCAGCAGTAGCAGCAACAGTAGCAGCAATAGCAGCAGCAGCAGCCGCAGCAGCAGCAGCTGTAGCAGCAACAGCAGCAGCAGCAACAGCGCAGTAGCAGCAGCAGCAGCAGCGACACCAAGAGCAAGGTTCCGCGGAGAACACAAGGATACACAAAGATGAGGTTGAAGAAGAAGTGGAAGCCTAGCTGTCCAAAGAAAAGGAAGTTGGTGACTAGACGCCATAGCTGCAGAAACGCAACACAACAACAAGCACACACACACACACGCACACACACACACACACACGCGTACATGCACACGTGCGCGCACACACACACAGAAGATCAAAGAAAGCTCAGCTGCAAGCACACACCGACAGCACACAGTTACAACTTGACTTAGGAATACAATCTTTTCCAGCACCAATACAGATTTACTCATGCCTTAGACCTGCAGCATGCAGATCAAGAAATGGACATAGAGTGGTCCCCCCCCCCCCCCCCGCGATCCCCCAGACATAAATGTACATACCGTACTTCCCCACATATAAGCGCATGGGCTTAAAGGTTTGTCTGTGTCCTAAACAACGGTGTTATCACAATGCTTAGTAGTATATTCAGCTCCCGGGTGTTTTACCAATCGTGTCCACATGCAAGCACATGCGCTTATAATTGGGGAGGGGGGGGGGTGGTGCTTATGTCCGGACATAAGCACATGCGCTTATATGTGCGGAAGGACGGTATTTGTATAATAGTGTTGTACAGTCAGACCTCACTTAACCGCACACATCCGTTTCCCACAAAAAATATCCGGATAGGCGAGGGAACCGGATAATTGAACACACTGATACTGTATGTATACATGGCATACTAGTATGCTGTACATCGGCAAGCAACGATTTTCTTCCCGATGGCGTGGGATGCGGATAAAAGAGGACGGGATAAGCGGCGAGGTGTGACTGTACTAGTAGTGTTGTAGTCTTACCTGCAGTTCTCTGAAGGTGAGATAGGGATTAAAGTAGAGCTGCAGTGGTGTGACAAACTCCACTTGCTGTGCAGAACACACACACACACGTGCACACACACACACACACACACACACACACACACACACGTGCACACACACACACACACACATACAAATGCAGAGAGAGACGGGCAGACAAACACAGTTCGCCACTGAGTACAACAAACACTGGTTTCCAAACTTTCCACTTCATGCACTCCATACAAAACGTAAGCGATGACTGAATTCGCAGACTCTAAACTAGTCTAAAGCAAAATGCTACATGTACAGCCTCTGCAAGATCGTCGATTGGTTCGATCCATGGCAACAGTATCTACTGTTGTGGGCATAGAGATCCGGTGAAATCATCGGGACGGGCGCCCTTACTTGCGTAGCGCGTACACACACTGTGACACTGTAAACATGGACCTGCAGTGCTCACGGCTGCACGGCCAGCACCCCGTGGCCGCTTGACTTCTCAACGGATGTCAATGTCCACAACAGTAGGGTTACAGTAATGGGCTACTCGGACTATGGCCAAATTCACGTATGAACGTGAATATCCATGGTGATGCAGTCATGTTTCGACCGACACGTGCACAATCGCTGATCAAACACGTCTGAGTCTTCTACATAGTTACATCGGGCCGTAGTCTGAATCGCCTACAAGTTATCAGCCCTGCGTATACAGTGTATCATACAAGCTCTGCATGCAAGGACTTACTACCTTTGTCGTCAAGCCGGCTCACGTGCATACGGACACTGGCGCAGGCCTGACCCAGCCTTGCATGCATGGGCACAGACTTGACTCAGTTGTAAGGCTCGCCGTCCTGCATGCTAGACCCCAATGATTGCCACACCCCAGTGATATCCAGACCCCACTGACTGCCCGGGCTCTATGAATTATGATTGCTAGGCCAGATGATCACTACATGTGTAGACCACGATGATTGCTAGACTCCTACATGAGAGCAACTGCATACCGGTACGTACAGTGTGATGTGGCTGCTGTGGAGTAGACCTATGCGCCGCCACACAGTAAGCGTATGGCGTACAGTCACTGTACTAATGTTATAAATTGCCAAGCAACATTGGCAAGCATTATTGGCAAGCAACATTGGCAACCGTCACTAGCATAATTATACATTTCTCGTGGCGATTTTCGAAACAGTTATTGACAGCTGAGAGTAGGTTGCTGGACAACGAGACAGACCTCGTTCAAAAAAATACTACGTGGCTGTCCAACGACTCACTAAGCTACATAACGGCTGCCTTACCACTAAAATAGTTGTGATCAGACACGCGGTGGTGTATGCTCTGGTGACTGGAGGTATGGCCATGTACTCTAACATTATCGGGTTGTGCGCCATCTTTGCAGCCAGCTACAAAGCGCCAGCGCTTTGCCACCAAATACTACTATGCTTCTGCAGGCCTCAGCGAACGAACGTGGCTTCAGGCAAGCACGATACACCCAAACAAGAAATACTCTTTGTCGAATGTCACTGCATTTCCAAATCAAACACTGAAATGTGCTGTTGTTTTCAAAGTCAAAGACTCGAAAGAGCTGATGTGTACTAAAATAATGACGTCAGGATGAGGACATCCTTTGACCCAGAAAACGTCTCAAGGACTGAGTGTGATTATACTGTGATACGCACCGATTTCCCGAAGTGTGCTGCTAAAATCGACCTAGGTTTTGGAACTCGACGCTGCATTTCGTGTGATTTGATGAGTCTCGAGGCGCCGCGGCTCCAAAACATCTCTTTTCTTCTTTGAACTGGTGCAGCTACTGTTTGCTTGAAAGGATTTCTTTTCCAGTCATTCGGTAGTGCAACTGTCGTTTGTCGAGCTTCTTGACTTCCCACTACACGGACTCTTTAGTTGTTGCGTTGCTGGTGTGAAGCCTACGACTTCTTTCTCTGACAAGAAACGATGAATCCAGAGAGTGCGGTGTACGACGGCTCATCCGAAGGTGAGCAAACAAAAACCGAGCTCGAGAGAGTCATGTTCCTGAGTTTGCTTGTGGTGCGCAACGTGGTGAGTCTATGGTATGAGTGCTGTTCCTTTTCTCTCTCTCTCTTTCTCTGCCCTCTATCCCTGTATTGTGTCTTCAGCTGAGACGGAAGGCGCCAGCGAAACGGATGCAGGGAAGGTCGAGGAAGATGTCAAAGATTTGTGAGTTGTTTGATTCTTCGTTGTACGCCAGCGCGTGGGCGTTTTGTTTTCTTTCTTTCAAGTTAGTTTGTTTTGGACTTGGTCCACGCCGGCTCTTTTCAAACTTAGTTGAATACAGGTGCCGATCTCAGCACTAACCACTACCAGGCAGTCTAGATCTGCTAAACGACAAGGAAAAACGGAGCCCTTGCACTAGTCTAGCAGTAGCCTTTTTCTTGTCAGTCAGGGATATGTGCATGTGCCTACACGTGTGGTGGTGGTGCTCTTGCTGCTGCTGCTGAGCAGCTCGTAGTGCTGGTGCTGCTGCTGGTGGTGCTGGTGCTGATGCTGCTGCTGGTGGTGGTGGTGCTGCTGCTGCTGCTGGTGGTGCTGGTGGTGGTGCTGCTGGTGCTGGTGGTGATAGTGATGGTCCCTATGGCCAGAGAGTACTCAAAATTAATAATAATTGAAAAGGCGGCGAGCTAGGCATGCCATGACAAGAGTCCACTAAACACGAATGTTTGGCAACTGTTCCCTCGGTAACAGAAATTTGTGTTTAGCAGATTTTTTCAAGTAAAACACATGCAGCCCAGTCTGAATTTTCTGCGTGCGAAACCAAATTTTGTGTTTCTGTGAATCAAAAAACATTTCAGGTGCGAAAATGTCTGTACAGCTGTTTTCGCGTTTTCAATCTCCTCATAAGGGTGCGCTCACACTGCGACCAAAACCAGCGTCCATGCGGCCATGCGGCCAAGTTGCATGGCAACGGCATGAACTCGACCAAAACGTCGCGGCCACGTTTCAAATCGTGACCGCGACCTCCGGAGGGGGGTGCCACGACTTGGCGGCAACATGATCGTAGACGTGAAGCGTATTTGTGTACAACCTGGCCTGAAGTATGTTCAATTTCTCAAATTTCGGTGTGTTGATTCATGAAACTCGGCGGTTGTCGATGTCATCCTCGACATTTCCACATTTTAAATTTTTTGTAGTTGTGGTCCTGCACGCACGCACCGCCATATATGCATTCTTTGCCCTTTTTGGTCGATGTCAATTTTGTTTTTGTTTTTGTAGTTGCTTCGTTGTGATCGGGTCAGTGACCAATTTCTACAGTGTACTCGTTCAATACGATCGCAGCTTGGTCTGGCTTTTCGGTTTGGGAAATCATCTTTCTCTACGTTTCTGCGATGATGGAATGCCATACCTCAAGACATTTCACACGGTTACATATCATCGGAAAATACAGTTCTCATCTCGGCAACAGACGAAAGAACCCACTACCGGAACTTCCACTGCACTGGCACTTGCTCTGACCACGAGGTCAGGAAAGCGAAAGCGCTTGGATGTCAGCGGCAGTCCCTCAAGAGTCCAAACCTACCTGAATGTATGAATTATTTTCGTCGACTTCAAGAATACGAGCCACGAGGCACTTCTTCCAACATGCAACATGCAAAAAATTTCATCCAAAAGGGGCCACAACTTTATTAGGAAACGCACAAACTCTTCTGGATACGAACTGCAATTCGTAAAGTTTGTGTGACAACTTCACGTCTACGCGTGTACGAGGCCTAGTGTGAGCACGACTGCCACGTTTCTGCGTTTTGCTGACGCATGGACGCGTGCTCATGGTCGCAGTGTGAGCGCGCCCTTAAGCCCTTTCGTAGGCGTAATAATGTTCTGCACATTGCTGGCAACTGAAATCCGACCCCTGAGCACATTCTAGCGGTCTATATTTCGCAGTTTTACAACCCCGTGTTGGGTCTTTGCGATGTGAGCGCACCGCTCAGGTGTCGTATTTCAGTTGCCAGCACTGTACATTATGGAGTACAGTGCTGTTCACATTCTAGCGGTCTCTATTTCGTAGTTTTACTACCCCGTGTTGGGTCTTTGCGATGTGAGCGCACCGCTCCGGTGTCGGATTTCAGTTACTTCTGAATGAAGTCCAATTGAGTGAGTGAAGTCGGTGACTTGCACCTGTTCACGGCCCAGTCTTCACAGCCCAGTGTTGACAGGTCTGGGGCTGAGCAGTGCCCGATGCGTACAGTCAACTTCGCTAATAACGACTGCGGATATTCGCGAATAACGACAGAATTTCCATGCCCAGAGCAAAGTCCCATGTAACTCTAATACATATGTTGAGACTTTGGGTATAAGGACACTTTGCGAATAACGACACTTTTCTGATGCCCCGTCGAGTGTTGTTGTACGCAAAGTTGACTGTACTTGACTTGCGTGATCAGATGTCATTGAGCAGCAGCAGCACTACTAGTATACATGTATGATGTCATTGAGCAGCAGTAGCACTACCAGTATACATGTATGATGTCATTGAGCAGCAGCAGCACTACTAGTATACATGTATCTACCATACGAAATTTTTGTGCAAAAAGTGATCGCAGATTTTATGTGGTATAAATGCTGGCCTAACGGTTTTTTGAAATCACGCGTCTATATTTTTCAAATGCACTGTAGAGCTACATAGCGCCCAGCCCTCAGTTCACTCACACGACCGGATTCCATTGAATAGGACTGTGGTTGCGCCTCGCATCCTCACCGCTTTATGTCCAATCTATGCGTGTGTGTGTGTGTGTGCGAGAGCCGCCGGTGTCGTACGTGACTCGCTGACGTCAGCGGACACGACTTGTATGTGGCGTATCCCCAGCCGCATACCCTCCAGAAGCTCGGGTATTCTACATGTCCAACACCACACGTATATGTCCCGTTGCATCAGCCATCTGCAGAGTTTTGCAATACCTCTGGATAAGTGTATTGCTAAGACCTTTCTATCAGCCTGCACAACTCGTATGATGACCTCGGTGAGCAACACGTAAGAGAGAGGGCTCTGCCTCTGGACTGGTAGCTCTGTTGTTTCCTACGCGGCCTCAGCAAATGAAAAATACAAAATTAAAAAAAAAGCGTGCGAAATATTCTTGACCCACAGTAGGTGAATGGCAACTCCAAGCCAGTGTACCAGATGCCCATCTACTATAGCGAGTAATAAGTGTGTAATGCACTGCTGCAGTGTGCTTGACCAAGTCAGTACTATGATCGGGCTCTCATCTCGGTATGTTCTTGTCTCATCTTCCACGTTGTTGTGCCTGTCTGTGCCCCACAGCTCATCACCAATGCAACTCTTGAAAGACAAGGTGCAGCAGTATCGGAAAGAACTCCAGGACCTCAATGCAGGTAGGACCTGAGACTGGTCTGAGCGGCTCAATAGCTCAATTATTGCATTGCAGAGGACCTGAGACTGGTCTGAGCGGCTCAATAGCTCAATTGTTGCATTGCAGAGGACCTGAGACTCATCTGAGCGGCTCAATAGCTCAATTGTTGCATTGCAGAGGACCTGAGACTGATCTGAGCGGCTCAATAGCTCAATTGTTGCATTGCAGAGGACCTGACACTGATCTGAGCAGCTCAATAGCTCAATTGTTGCATTGCACTGGACCTGAAACTGATCTGAGTGGCTCAATAGCTCAATTGTTGCATTGCAGGGGACCTGAGACTGGTCTAAGTGGCTCAATAGCTCAATTGTTGCATTTCAGAGGACCTGAGACTGGTCTGAGCGGCTCAATAGCTCAATTGTTGCATTGCACTGGACCTGAGACTGATCTGAGTGGCGCAATACGGTACTGTCAGTCGCCGAAGAACTCGGGTGTCATCCTCCTGGCCTAGACTATTCTTATTGTCATGTATTACAGTCTATATGCTGTTGAGTAACCGTGTATACATTGGTATGTTTTGCATGATGAAATTCCAACCTGGTCGTTCTTCGGGGCTCTGTTCTTTGGCGCCCGACAGTACTGTAGCTCAAAAGTTGCATTGCACAGGACTTGAGACTGGTCTGAGCAGCTCAATAGCTCAGTAGTTGCATTGCACAGGACTATGATCCGTGCCGGTGGAGGTCACAAAACTGTGTGTTTTGTACTCACCTTTCATTTATTTTAGTATCGTAACACGGAGGACTAGCTTTTCTTTCTTTCTTTTACAGTGTTTTGGATTCGCTTCTCGTGCGATTGCTGACGTTGTTGTTGTTGTTGTTGTTGTTGTTGTTGTTGTTGTTGCTGCTGCTGCTGCTGCTGCTGCTGCTGCTGCTGCTGCTGCTGCTGCTGCTGCTGCTGCTGCTGCTGCTGTCGTTGTTGTTGCTGTCGTTGTTGTTGCTGTTGTTGTTGTCGTTGTCGGTCATCGTCGTCATTGCCATCATCCTTGCAGGTTCCCATGCGGAATACCAACGTCGTGTTACTAAGCTAGAACGGGCTCACGACGAGTCGGTCAGAACGATAGGTGAGTAGGAAAAGGTGCTGCTGCTGCTGATGCTCCTGCTGCTGATGCTCCTGTTGCGGATGCTTCTGGTGCTACTGGTGTGCGCGTGCTCATGTGTGTATGGCTGCGTGGCTCTGAAGCCGTTTCTGCGGGCAGGGGGCGATATAGAAAGGAGACCTGGTCGAAACTGTTGTCACAGTCCCCGTAGTCTGTGTTCGTGCAGCCTTGCTGTCCAGTTGAGAAGAGTCTGAGTGCATTGCATGCTAGCTCAGTCAGTTGCACACCTGTGTACCAGCATTGACGTTTTGTCATGCACATGTCTTACACTACTGCCGTGGTGTCTGTCTATGCGTATACCAGCAGGTTGTTTGACATACATGTATGATACATCACACCTACCCACCCGCCGTCTCTCTGTACTCAATCTTATGGTGTGTGCGTGCGTGATTGCATTTTCTTTCCCACTCTGTTTTTACTGGTGCGGCGTCTTCTCTACCGCCGGGGTCAGAATGCTGGAGAGATTTCATGGTAAGATATTACAAGTATCACTAAGAACATGCAAGACTACTAGTGACGTACTACTAGCACTGCAGGGAGGGAGTCATGGGACTGCAGCTCCGGGGGGGGGGGGGGGGGATTGGTGCTCCCATACTGAGGGGGGGGGGGAGAAAGGTGCATGGTACATGTACTCTCATACAGGGGGTGGGGGAGAAAGCTGCATGGTACTCCCGTACAGGGTTGGGTGGGGGGGAGAAAGCTGCATGGTGCATGTACTCCCATACAGGGATTGGGGGGGGGGGGGGGGGATAAATGTACTGTATCACCTCTGTAGTTGCACATCTGACCGAGCCAGCAGGGTCTGTGTGGTAAGCTGGTGTCATTATCCAGTGATAGCTGGTCGTACCCGGTAGGCCCAGACAGATTCTGCTCCGCTTGCCTCGATATTTTGCTGCGAAATCTTCGATATTTTGCCGAGCCTGGCACAAGAAACTCGATATTTTGCTCCATTTTGCTCCCGAATAATGTGTATCTTATCCACTTCCCGTACAATCCTGGCTGTACAACGTTTCATAAAAATCACAGGGTCGGTTTCTCAACACTGGTTTCCACGCACGTGTCCCTGAGTTCTTCCAAAATCATGTCGATCCACAGTGAATCCCAGTGATATTTCGGTGACATGATCTCGTCCTGGGCACTGTGTATCCTGCTGAATGGGTAAGAAATCAAGTCTGAGAAGAATGATGAGCCTTTCTCTGTGGCAATGGCTTTGATCAGAGCCCAGCTGTCCTTTGCTCTCGTGAAGGCGGCCGTGGCATGCCTTCGTGGGCATCGCCACAAGTCGAGCAGGTATGACCCTCATGCATATTCTGCCACACAGGCTGTCTCCGAGTGTCATCTGTAGGCAACCTGTCTGTTTCCCCCAGCCTTCCCCTTTTTCTCTGTACCATTTTGTATGTTATAATTTTCGCGGATTCCAGTTGTTCTCCCTTCATTATAGTGTAAGCCCAGTTTAGCGCGTATTGGCTTATGATTTCTTTTTCTTCTGTTTGTATTTAGCGCTTGACCGGTTATTATTTTCCTTCTCTTTATTTTGCGCTACATATTATTATTATTTTTCTGGTTTAATAAAATATTGGTAACCAGAAGAAAAAAAGAAACAAGGAAATTCAAGTATCAGGCATCGATTTTACCCAACATCTCGATATTTTGCTCCGATTTTGCCGGCAATTTCCGCTCTTTCAATTCTTCGATGTTTTGCCGAAAGAATTGCCGGCAGGATCTGTCTGGGCCTAGTACCTGGGGTCAGCCGGTCCACACTACGATGATTCAATGCGTAATGTGTGCATACAATGAAACCCGTGTAAGACGATCGCTCAAGGGACCCTCGAAATGTGGTCTCCTTTTCCAGGGTCATTTGGCTGGAAATAGCATCCCTTGGTCCTGGTTGCAGTGGTCTATTAGGACAGGTGGTCGCCTTATCCGAGTGGTCACCATGTCAGATTTTACTGTACATGTGCTGTGGGTATGGTCGCACTTCAAGTACTTGTAACAACTTTCTCTCTCTCTCTCTCTATCTCTCTCTCTCTCTCTCTCTCTCTCTCTCTCTCTCTCTCTCTCTCTCTCTCTCTCTCTCTCTCTCTCTCTCCGTCGCCCCCCCCCCCTGCAGACGTTGGAAATTGATTCAGAGTACCGTGGTGAACTAGAGGCAGCAGAAAAGGAATACGAGGTAGGTGCCGATGGCTTGGTGTGTGTGCGTGCGTGTGTATGCATTTGTGTATTCTGCAGTCCTCCCTCTCTAATCCGGCACTTGTTTATCCAGCACCCTTGCAAATCAGCACACTTTCTGGCAAAACGGATTTTTTCAGTTCATTTTCTACGCTTTAATCCGGCACTTGAATTCCGCCTCCAGCAGCGATTTTGTGCAACAAATCACTCAAACCGTACATATTTCGATTTTCTAATCCAGCAGTTGTACATCGCATACTGTCAGGGACCATTGTAACATACACAACACATGTAACATACACTTGGGAATATCCTATGCTAGTGCATAAGATATTCCCAAGTGTATGTTATATACATGCATTCCACAAAGTACTTGGTTTGACACAGAAAATCCCTACATTTTGACGTACGACACAAACATGTATGATAACATGTGGGCCGGGTTGGAGGGCAAGATTTGATAATCCAGCACCCTTGTTTATCCAGCAGAAAATGCCGTTGCAAAAGGTGCCGGATTAGAGAGGGATGACTGTATAAGGAGAGCAGTTTGTTTTGTTGTGAAAATGGTTTTGGTTGCCAACATCCACGGCATCTCTCTCTCTCTCTCTCTCTCTCTCTCTCTCTCTCTCTCTCTCTCTCTCTCTCTCTCTCTCTCTCTCTCTCTCTCTTCACTGCTGAAATTGTTTCCTTTTCTTTTCAAGACCAAGCGTGCTAACCTCAAGGATATGCTGACAGCCGACTTAGCGGACAAGAAGAAAGTGATAGAAACAGAACGACAGACAATGGAATTGACGGGAGGTACGGATATGGCAGTTTCGCTGTGCAATTCTGCTAGAATTCTTACAACTATCTCTCTCTCTCTCTCTCTCTCTCTCTCTCTCTCTCTCTCTCTCTCTCTCTCTCTCTCTCTCTCTCTCTCTCTCTCTTTCTCTGCTTTCTGTTTATAATGACTGGTGCGAAGAGGACATCTAGTCTAAGTGTCTCCTATTTCCTCTGTCCTTTCTTCTTCGCACTTTGCAATTAGATTCGACCGAAGTGAAGCCGATTGTAACGAGAAAGTTACGCAAGCGTATGCAAGATGTCGTACCGCAGGCTGAGAAGCGTCGGCGACCTGCCAGTAAGTCACTGTGTGTGTCTGTGTGTGTCTGTGTGTGTGTGTGAGAGAGAGAGAGAGAGAGAGAGAGAGAGAGAGAGAGAGAGAGAGAGAGAGAGAGAGAGAGAGAGAGAGAGAGAGAGAGAGAGAGAGAGAGAGAGAGGGGTGTTTGCGTGTGTGGAGGCATGGGGTGTTTGTGGCCGCGAGTGTGCTGGTGGATGGTTGGTAGGGTGGGGAGGGGGGGGGGCAAAATCCCTGGCAACTATGCTGGCCTGTTACTCCGGTCTCTGTTGCCGTTATCTTTTATCTTCTGCATCATTCCATCATTCCGGTGATTGTCCTGCTATCTGTGGTCTAGTGTTTACCTTCCTCACTGCAAACAAACCTTCCTAAGCTTGTTGGGTGTGGGGGGGGGGGGGGGGCTTGCGTGTGTGGAGGCTTGTGGTGTTGGTGGATGGTTGATAGGGAGGGGAAGGGGGGGGGGGGGGGGGGGGGGGAGAGAGAGCAAACCTTCCCAAGCTGGTTGTGTTGCTCAGCGTAGTTGTATAGCCGGTTGTAACGCAAGCGTGTGAACTTTTTTGTTTGTTTTCGAAATAGACTGGGAGCATTAGTACTTGAGATGGTAGAATATCATTTTCAAATGTGTTGATGATGATGATGTCAGGGTGCTAGTGTGATGACGTAATAATGACATCATGTGTCTGGTGTAATTGTCTGTCTGTGTGTATGTGTGTGTGTGTGTGTGTGTGGGATTCACTGGCCAGAAAAAGTCACTTCAAACAGCTGTGTGGTGGATACCAGGCTAAAAATAGTGGCGGTCAATTCATCAGCCTTGCAAGCTGTTGAATGGTGTAATCCCAGCACAAGTTGCTATGTCTAACATAGCTGTTCGCTATCATCGCTTCCGCGATGGGCATGTCTGAGGTCTGAGGTGTATGTGTCTGCAGGTAACATCGCCCTGAACTGTGCACTGGATGAGGATGATGTCATGGCGGACTTGCTGCGAGTTTACAAGGGCAAACTTCCGGTGTCACTCCGACCTCCGCAGGGTAAGTCTCCTTGCTGCTGTCACTCTGGCCTTTGCGGGTTAAGTCTCCGTGGTGTGTCCATTGTGCGTACATCGTGTACTATAAACTGCCTGGTGTTTGCGACGTATTTTATGTTTGTTAATTTTGCGAGAAGGCATAACACAATTATTAACAATCGTGAAATCAAACTTCAACAGCGGGTGTATGTGTGTGGCCACAGTGTTGTGTGGAAATTTGCCACCGTAAACTCGCTGGTTCTGAGAAATCGCAAAAATTTAGTGGCGCAAATACTGGGCGGTGTACAGTATCCATGGTGGAGTAGAGCAGTAGCAGCTGATCTTGCTGTCTGTCTGTGTGCCTGTATGTCTGACAGTATCCATGGTGGAGTAGACCAGTAGCAGCTGATCTTGCTGTCTGTCTGTGTGCCTGTATGTCTGACAGTATCCATGGTGGAGTAGAGCAGTAGCAGCTGATCTTGCTGTCTGTCTGTGTGCCTGTATGTCTGACAGTATCCATGGTGGAGTAGACCAGTAGCAGCTGATCTTGCTGTCTGTCTGTGTGCCTGTATGTCTGACAGTATCCATGGTGGAGTAGACCAGTAGCAGCTGATCTTGCTGTCTGTCTGTGTGCCTGTATGTCTGACAGTATCCATGGTGGAGTAGACCAGTAGCAGCTGATCTTGCTGTCTGTCTGTGTGCCTGTATGTCTGACAGTATCCATGGTGGAGTAGACCAGTAGCAGCTGATCTTGCTGTCGGTCTGTGTGCCTGTATGTCTGACAGTATCCATGGTGGAGTAGACCAGTAGCAGCTGATCTTGCTGTCGGTCTGTGTGTGTGCCTGTATGTCTGACAGTACAGCACTGGCGGTTGCTGAAGAACTTGGGGAGTCAGCCTCCTAGCCTAGACCGCTCTTATTTTCATGTGTTCCAGTCTATGCGCTTACAGTGTATGCACAGTTGAGTCACCGTGTATACACTGGTATGCTGTGCTGGGTGGAAATCTAGCCCGGCAGTACTGTATGTCTGCGTGCCTACCTGTCTGCCTGGCCAGGTCTTTGTCTGCATGGCCAGGTCTTTGTCTGCCTGGCCAGGTCTTTGTCTGCCTGGCCAGGTCTTTGTCTGCCTGGCCAGGTCTTTGTCTGCCTGGCCAGGTCTTTGTCTGCCTGGCCAGGTCTTTGTCTGCCTGGCCAGGTCTTTGTGTGCATGGCCAGGTCTTTGTGTGCATGGCCAGGTCTTTGTGTGCATGGCCAGGTCTTTGTGTGCATGGCCAGGTCTTTGTGTGCATGGCCAGGTCTTTGTCTGCCTGGCCAGGTCTTTGTGTGCCTGGCCAGGTCTTTGTCTGCCTGGCCAGGTCTTTGTGTGCCTGGCCAGGTCTTTGTGTGCCTGGCCAGGTCTTTGTGTGCCTGGCCAGGTCTTTGTCTGCCTGGCCAGGTCTTTGTGTGCCTGGCCAGGTCTTTGTGTGCCTGGCCAGGTCTTTGTCTGCATGGCCAGGTCTTTGTCTGCCTGGCCAGGTCTTTGTCTGCATGGCCAGGTCTTTGTCTGCCTGGCTGAAAAAGAAGACATAGAATATGCTGAACAGTCAAACAGTGGACAGGAAAGACACTATGCTTGTAATAAGCATGATACCGTATCTATCTGCGCGTGTATAAGACACACCTTTATACACTAAACATCAAGGGCAAAGAAGGGGTGCGACTTACAATCGAGTGTGACAACCTTTGTGAACACATGAAACGATGTGGCTCAAATCTGAAAGTGCGGGTGCTACTTAACACAGTTACAATTGAGTGTGACTTATAATCGGGGAAATACAGTAGCCTTTCTGTCCACTGTTTGCCTCTTCTACGCTCTGTCTCCGCGGTATCAGTTGAGCACGCTTTGCACACTAGGTGCATTCCTCATGAATGTGCAGAATAAAAACATGTGTTCTTGTTGGTGGTGGTGGTGGTGCTGCTGCTGTTGTTGTTGGTGTTGTTGGTGTTGTTGTCGTTGTTGTCGTCGTTGTCGTTTGTTGTTGTGTGTAGCGCAAGCAGCGCAAGGCGCACACACAACATCTGCCACTTCAAGTAACACACTCAGCGATCAGGGTGTGGAAGTCAAACTGCAAGACGGGAAACTCTTCTACGACAAGAAAGTGTAAGTCTTGTGTGTGTGGTGTATGTGTGTGTGTGTGTGTGTGTGGTGTGTGTGTGTGTGTGTGTGGTGTGTGTGTGTGGTGTGTGTGTGTGTGTGGTGTGGTGTATGTGTGTGTGTGTGGTGTGTGTGTGCGTGTGTGTGCGCACGCGCGCGCGCGCGCGTGTGTGTGTGTGTGAAGCTTTTGCTATTTGATCTTTTCAGTTGGATCTTGTGCTGTCTACAATCAATGTTCGAAGCAGTTTGCAGCGATTTATATTCGCGAATGGTCGCGAAAGTAGCGAAATTTAATCTCTAGCAAACGTTTCTCACTTCACAGTATAATATGCAATACCTAGCTTGCATGGCCATCACCTCCGGGAGAGACCTGTTGTGGGTGTTCCACGCAGCTAGTCACCTCAATCAAAGTGACCTCGACCATCACCAGAGTTTGATGACAAAGACAAATTGTCTATCACGGCTGGGCAGGGAGCGATGGAAAGCTAGTAGATATTTCCTGATCCCTGGTTGTTTAGCACTCTGAGCCGACCTGGCGGTCTGAAGAGTGTACAAGTAAACAAGTGAAGTAAAGTTTGCACGTCCGCGTTACCGCCGGCTTACGATTATGTTGCGAAACACAACCAGCTTAGAGAAATTTCACTCGCGCCAGGCCATCACTATGCCTGATTATACCAGGGTGGCTGCAGATGTGCAGTGTCATAATCTCGAGTAACATCCCTGCTATGGGGGCGATTTAGGAGCTGCATCTGCGTCTTGATCCATAGAGGCTGGTGGCTTTCCTACGTATGAGGAAAATTCGGCCTCCAGCCAAGTCTCACGGGAACCGTGAACTTTTATTTTATTTTATTTGATGGTGGTGATGTGTAATAATGGGGATGGGTCGGCTGAGAGCACATTGTGAAGCGGTGGTGTAACTGGTATTTTGCGTAATGGTTGAGTTTGTCACCAATATCTCTTCTGTGGTTGTCTAGCCGTTACGGTATAGGGCTTCGAAGTGATGGCGTCACGCATACCTGGCAACGCATGCCAACGAAGGTTCTGGGTACAAAAAGAACCTTACAGCGCAAAGAATAACTCTCTTTCTCTCTCTCCGTCTCTCTCTCTCTCTCTCTCTCCCGCCTCTCTCTCTCTCTCTCTCTCTCTCTCTCTCTCTCTCTCTCTCCCGCCTCTCTCTCTCTCTCTCTCTCTCTCTCTCTCTCTCTCTTCGTCCCTCTCTCTGTCTCTCTCTCTCTTTGCCTGCAGGTTTATTCGTGGACAACCGGTGTTCTTGGATCAGAAAGATGGTACACGCATCAGTGGTACTGTGCAATCAATCGGGCAGAACGAGGTATGTTTCATCATTTCATGCGTTTCTATCTGTTTGTGACACCACCCTTATCCTCTGTATCCTCTCTCTCTATTTCTCACTCATGCACACTCTCTCTCTCTCACTCACGCATTCTCTCTCTCTCTCTCTCTCTCTCTCTCTCTCTCTCTCTCTCTCTCTCTCTCTCTCTCTCTCTCTCTCTCTCTCTCTCTCTCTCTCTCTCTCTCTCTCTCTCTCTCTCTCTGCTTCCCTCTCCAGTCTTCGATGGATGCTTGTATTTTTTGCCTTGTCAGTTTAATATCTAATCGTTGCATGTCCTTGCTTGCTTCCCACTACTGACATACCGTAAAATACTGTTGATCCGCTTCCTCTCTGATTTCTGCCCCCTGTCAAATTTCTGCCTGTGAAGCGACGTCGACATATACAATGAAATACGGTGTTGAACCGACGCATGCACTGCAGTACACAACATGTGCCAGTGCAGGATGAACAATGTGCACAGTCCAGCATGCCAAGCCTGATCTTCTGCGTTGTAGTAAAATCGCACTGCACTTGGCAGCCTTACCTTCCCGCTCCCTGTTGAAAACCCAGCTGGGAAGCGACGTAGCATTGGGGGGGGGATCAACGGTACTTTACGGCACATGCAGTGGTGTGGTATGTTGATCATCACTGGCTGATGTGATAGACATGCTGGAAGGAGTTAGGTCTGATTTTACTTGTCTCAACTGTTTTTTCTGTGTGTGTTCTCTCTCTCTCTCTCTCTCTCTCTCTCTCTCTCTCTCTCTCTCTCTCAGGTATGGGTACGTAAGACTAGTGGCGATCAGGGGCGTATCAAGGTGCCCATTCAGGCCTTGCTGCGTGGAAAGTACTCCGTGCGCAAGCGCTCCACGTAGCCTTCAGCCATCCAGTATCCATCGGGCCGCTGAGAACACCGTGTGCGCCGTCAATGCTGGTATGCACTGTATATTATCCTTGGAGTGGATGGTTGGATGTTTGTTATGGTTCCACGTCTATGCCACGTCTATGGTTGAGTGTTTGTTTTGGCGTCGCAGGGCTATGACTGGATGTTTATTTCTGGCGTCTCTGCTATGCCTGGATGTGTGTTGGCTGCATGGCCGGAGTGCCAGTGCTAGTGCGGCGTTGTCTTTTGGGCACATTGGCGGGACACGCTGTACATTCTTCTTGAAGTGTTTGTGACGTAGGCTGTCTGGATGCGGCTGTGGGCACCTGCGCTACTACCGCTCTTGCCATCCCTGACAGAACTAGCGCTGTTAACCGTTCTTGATGCTCAGCTAATGGTTACAGTGCATTGATCAGCTCCAGTGTGTTCTTCTTGCCGTCTTGAGTGGGTAGCGGTGCTTTTGAGAGAGCTTTGAGAGTGCTTTGAGAGAGCTTTGAGAGTGCTTTGAGAGTGCTTTGAGAGAGCTTTGAGAGTGCTTTGACCCCCCCCTAATTGATGCCAGTGGTATTGGCTAGATGGTGGTGGTGGATGCTCTTTTGCTATCATTGTTATTCTGATGGTTATGGTGGAGATGGGGTGTACACGTGACGGGACGGAAGGTTGAACTCACTCGTGCCAGTTCCATGCATACCCTTGTGGATTTTTGTCCTCGGCAATCTTCGTACGAGCTTCGACGTGCCGGCATGTCCCCGACCTGCAGAGCTACCAACATAGCAATTTGACGCATTGCGTGCGTGTCTTCCCAGCGTGGCTGGCAACATTGGCCATGCTTTAACACTGGTTTGCCGGTGTGGGAGTTCCTGGCCTGACCTGATGTTCTGTGGGAGTTCCTGGCCTGGGAGTCCCTGGCCTGTCCTGATGTTCTGTGGATTTCTCCTTCGTTGATGCCCGTGGCTGCAATCTTGTTTATAGTAGAGAGAGACAGACAACTATAGCCTATATCCCCTTGCTGTCCTTGGCAGCTGCTGCTGTTTGCTATCATGGTGCCAGTCGTTGCGTTTGTACGGAGCTGATCCGGCCGTGCCGTGTTTTCCGAAGAGCGTGTGCGGCGGACCTCCGACCGCCGCTACCTCCGACCGCCGCTACCTCCGACCGCCGCTACCTCCGACCGCCGCTACCTCCGACCGCCGCTAGCAAGGATCCCAGGCTGATGGTAGTGTGCTGGGAAGATGGTCATCGTATCCGCAGCAGAAACAGCAGCAGCCGTGGTGGTGGCGGTGACGGTGCTAATGGCTGTGCTGTGTTGTGAGTTACTGAGTACCACTTGATGGCCGCATACGCGCAGTGGCTGTGGTTGCTTGCAATCATCACGTGACACCGATGCCTTGCGCTCTGCTGGAGTGTAGTATCGCCCACAAGTCAGGGCTGTGCTGCTGCCCGCTGTATCCACTGCTAGCATGGCCAACAGTTGCTCCAGTGTTGGTTGAATGCTACTAGAGCCATCGCCGCTGCTGTCTCCGCTGTTTCCACTGACATGACAGGCAGCAGTTGCTCCAGAGCTTGTTTGACTGCTTTCAGAGCCACCACCTCTGCTGTCTTCCCTGCTACGTCCACTGTCTTCACTGGCCGTGACAAGCAGTAATTGCTCGGGTCCAGTGCATACTGATAGGCGTGCTGTGTGCTCATGCTGTGCGCCATCGGGCTCCCACGGCCGCATGTGACAATTGATGCACTATGCATTATGCATGTGTGTGTGTATGTGTGCGCGTGTGTGCATCACGGTCAGTGTCACCGCATGCACTCTAGTTGCAGCTGGTGCTGTGCATCCATCCCCGGTGGCGTTCTCGCTGGTATTGCACCACCCTGTGCCTTGGTATTCTCACTAGTATTGCGCCACCTTTTGATATGCTGTCCTAATCACACATAATGTACGAGCTCGCCAGCCAGCAAGGCTTTTATGGCAATGTGCTGTCTGTTTGTTGCCGTCGACACGGAACTCTGCATGTTGACCTATGACTATGTTCTGCAGATGTGTAGGCACTGTGCTGCTGGAGTTGTTGACCTTGCTCAGCCTTGCTGTCTCACTAGTGCACTGTAGCACTGCTGTAGATGCAGTTGTAGTTTTAGTGCTTGTGTAGGGAGTGTGAACCCACTGGAAGCGAAAATCTTGCTCATTATCGCTGTCCAGTTTTAGACTTAATTACAATTTAATTTAATGTTCGTGGGCAGTCTTCTCACTCTGCCTGTCTGTGTCTCCTTGTTACTATACAGTGTGGTGCAATTTCCTGTTCTGCTTTTCTTTTCAATGCAACTCTTTCTCTCCCTCTTTCTAATATACTAGACATCTGCTCGTAAACCCATCTACTCCTACATAGTACTGTACTACTGGTAGTACAGACTTAGCTCTCATGACCATGCCTTGCAAGCAGGGAGTCGTCAAATACCGTATTAATTTTGACGACTCCCTGCTTGCTAGTGTGTTTGCTGTTTAGACTTTAGAGGCATCATTGATGTTGCGTAGTCGTCGTCGC